CCCCCCCCCCCCCCCCCCCCCCCCACACCCCCCCCCCCCCCCTCCCCCCCCCCCCCCCCCCCCCCCCCCCCCCCCCCCCCCCCCCCCCCCACCCCCCCCCCACCCCCCCCCCCCCCACACCCTCTCCTCCCCCCTCTTTTCCCCACTCTTCTTTCCTTTCTCCCCCCCTCTTTCTCCCCTCTCTTTTTTTCCTTTTCTTCCAACCCTTTTCTCCCCTCCTCCTTCTCTTTTTTTCCCCTCCTTTTTCCCTTTCTTTTTCTTTTTTTTTTTTCCTTTTTTTCTCTCTTTTTTTTTTTTTTTTTCTTTTTTCCTCCTTCCCCTTTTCCTTCCTTCTTCCGTTCTCTTTTTTTTCTTTCTTTCCTTTTTTCCTCCCGGTTTTCCTCCCCTTTTCCTCGTCCCGCCCGTCTTCTGGCGGGTTTTTTGGGGTTCGTTTGTTGCGTTTTTTTTTTGTGTTTTTTTTGGTTTTGTTGTTGGTTTTTTTGTTTTTTTTTTTTTTTTTTTTTGGTTGGTTTTTTTTTTTTTTGTTTTTTTATTTTTTTTTTTTTTTTTTTTTTTTTAAATAAAAATACTTATTTTTAAAACCACCCCCCCCCCCTTTTATCTCCAATCAGAATCTGAAACTTACCAATAGTTTGGGCTGTCTTAAGTCTGAATTACACTGTCTTTTTTTAATTTTAATTTTCTTTTGACCTTACACCCTGGTCCTTTGTTCGTACCTATTAAAACTTGAACTTTATTCATTTTACAGATTCGAGAATCCAAATATGAGGACGCGATAAAAGCTCTTAACGATGCTATGAATTTTAACCCAAACAGAGCCGGCTTATCTTTACTTGGCTATTGTTATTATAGACTGCAGTCATTTGTGGACGCTGCAAATTGTTACGAACAACTATCTGCTATGCATCCTGAAATTCCCGAATACAAACTACACTTTGCACAGGCCCTATACGAAGCGTCAATGTTCGACGAAGCCTACAAAGTAACTTTACAAATAAATGCTCCAGAATTAGAAAGAAAAGTAATAAAACTACAGTCTGCTATTAAATATGGTGTCGAAGATACAATAAGTGCAAAATCTCTTGTAGATTCATATCCACAAGATGATTCTGACAAAGATATTAACTTGGGATGCTTATTGTATAAGGAAAACCAATATGAAGATGCGTTACAGAAATTCTCTAAAAGCTTAAATATTCTAGGCTTTAATGCTCATCTCCATTACAACGTTGCGTTATGCTATTTTAAGCTCAAAGAATATCCACAAGCCTTGAAACATATAACTCTTGTAATTGAAAAGGGAATCAGAGATCACCCTGAACTATCAGTCGGTATGCAAACTGACGCATCTGAAGTTAAATCTATAGGAAATTCTTTAACCTTACACGAAACTGCACTTATAGAAGTGTTTAACTTAAAAGCTGCTATCGAATATCAATTAAAAAATATCGAGCCTTCCAGAGAAGCTTTAGCTGATATGCCTCCAAGACACGAACATGAGTTAGATGCTGTAACACTTCATAACTTAGCCCTTACATCGATTGATCTTAAGCCCACAGACGGCTTTGAAAAACTTCATTTTTTGCTACAACAAGATCCATTCCCTTCGGAAACATTCGCTAACTTACTCCTTCTTTACTGTAAGTTTGAGTACTACGACTTAGCCGCAGATGTCTTAGCTGAGAATGCCCAATTCACATACAAGTACCTAACTCCTTACCTTTACGACTTCTTGGATGCCGTTATAACGAGTCAAACGTCGCCAGAGGAAGCGTTTCAAAAGTATGAGGATATTGCTTCAAAGCATGCTGAACAATTAAGAAAACTTACGAAAGTAGTCCAAGAGAGTCGTTCTCAAGGCGACAATGATCAAGTTAAGAAGGCTGTGGTAGAGTATGAAGAAGCTTTGGAAAGATATATTCCCGTAGTAATGGCTCAGGCTAAGCTATATTGGGACAAAGAGAACTATGGGCAAGTTGAAAAGATTTTTCGTAAATCCGTTGAATTTTGTAATGAGTCCGACGTGTGGCGTTTAAACGTCGCACATGTTCTGTTTATGCAGGAAAGCAAATATAAAGAAGCTGCCAATTTCTACGAGCCAATCGTAAAGAAACAGTATAACAATATTTTAGATATAAGCGCCGTTGTACTAGCTAATTTATGTGTGTCGTACATAATGACGTCCCAAAACGAAGAAGCAGAAGATATTATGCGTAAAATCGAGAAAGAGGAGGAGCAGCAGATATTTGAAGACCCTGAAAAGAAATTCTATCACTTGTGTATAGTGAATCTGGTGATAGGGACATTATATTGCGCAAAAGGCAATTACGAGTTTGGTATCTCAAGAGTAATAAAATCACTTGAGCCGTTTAACAAGCGTCTGGGCACTGACACGTGGTTCTACGCAAAACGATGTTTTTTATCGTTCCTGGAGAATTTAGCGAAACACTTGATTGTCGTTAAAGATAACACTATAAAGGAGTGTCTGCAATTTCTCGAAGGTTGCGAGACATACGGCCGGCGTGTGAGTACCGTTATCGAGACGCCATTTCATGAAGATGACGCGAATAATAAAGCTAAACAAACCGTGACATTTGAAGCTCGTGTACTTCGTTACATGTTTTATAAATTAAGAAGTATCGACGATTCTGTTACAATTAATAAGTATGAGGATTTAAAATAAAAACTGACCTGGAGGTATTGGCTTTTTATTTGGTCCAGATTTTCTTGCATCCCTGTGCTTTAGGACAAACGTTCTCTCTTCACCGAAAGATAGAGACGCAATGGGAACGTTATGGTCCAATTCAGGTTCATTGTCTCTATGTTCGCCCATGTGATCATTTCCATTTCTATACCTAAAACAACAAATATACTGCGGCCGCAGAGCAGGCGGAAAATAAGATATGGCTCAAATATAAGATTCTTCCCTCCAATTTGTATTTGATCCCTTAAGAGTAGAGATTCTTGGGCCGGGTTCAAATGCACAGACTCTAATTCAAGATTTAAGTTGGCGCCTGGTAGGTAGTACCGGTGACCCCAGAGGTGGTGCTTTTCTCGCTAAGGAAATGCCGCCAGCGTTAAAGTTACACTGCCACAGGGACCAAAACTTTTTACATTTGTTTTAATTTTCTATTTATTAATGTTTAATTATTATTAGTATTACTATAGGTAACGAATATTTTAAATCCTGTTTATTTGTGTGTTGGAAATAAATGATTATTCCTTGAAAAATTAATAAATAAACAATTAATATACATGCAAAGATTGTCTAGAATTTGTATGGTTTTGTCTTCCATGTTAAATTACGATGAAACTTAGACATCAGGGTAAACAGATAACGGAGGCAAGTGTAAATGAATATGTCAACGTAAAATTGTAAAAACCGTTAGATTGTAATCTATCTCGCGTGATTGTAAACTGTCGAAAAATTGTGAACTCAACGTATTGCTTACAATTTAACGTATTATTATTCGGTAGATTATAATCTATCGAATTGAAAGCGTCAAATTGTGAAACGGTACGCACCTCGCGCGCTGATTGGTTGAACGGAATATGCCACGCGCTGATTGGTTGAACGGAATATGCCATGGTGGCGACCATATTTGTTTGTTAATTCGTTTGTTGTCGAATGTAAACAAACGGTGTTTTGGTGAATGTAAATTGATGTCGTCTTGAAAGTAACTCACAGCTTTAGGATGTTGAAAGTGAACGTGAAAAGTTCTATGAAAATGTTGTGGAAGTAAAATTAATCTGTGATTGACCAAAGAAGTGCAGTTTGAATGATAATTAAGTAAGTGTTGGTCTCCAAACAAAGTCTAAATTACATATTCTAAATTACATACATTTTCCGTGTTTTAATATTTTTTATTCGCGTGAACCTTTGTGATCTCGTATTTACAATGTCGGATATTGAGCCTGTCGATCAACAAAACTCAGAAATATAAGGTATTGTTAATAAGGAAGAATTTACCATAGAGTTACAAAACTATTACAGCGGGCATAATGAAAATAGTAAAAAATTTAATTGCAAAGAAATAAAAAGAAAGCTGTTGATGTTCTTTGTAACTCCAGGTGCCACAACTCGTTGACGTGCAACAATAGTTGAACATTTTTATTGATGCAATTTACTTTCTTAGTTTTTATATAATAGACAATTTTGTTATGTTTTCAAAAACGTTCATATGTTTTCGATTTGTTTTTTTTTTTAAATTTTGATTTTATTTTATCGTTTTTTTCTAAAAGAAAATTTCATTAATTTTTCAATTTTAATTTGTGTTTGAAGAGAAAATATTGTTACGTTTCTGATTTTTTATTTTGATATAATTTTTTTTTCATCATGTGATGTCAGAATTATTGATATAATAAATACTAATTTTTGAAGTGCATTCATTTTATTTGACCGATACCCTTGTTACATTCCTAACTCTACGGTCTACTATAAAGCCGACCAATCAGCGCGCGAGGTGCGTACCGTTTCACAATTTGACGATTTCACTTCGATAGATTATAATCTACCGAATAATAATACGTTAAATTGTAAGCAGTACGTTGAGTTCACAATCTTTCGACAGTTTATAATCTCGCGAGATAGATTACAATCTAACGGTATTTACAATTTTACGTTAACAAATACATGTGTTTACATAAAGACTTACTTGTTGACCAAAACGAAGTTGTATTTGATGCCCTTGAGTCTGAAAATGAAATTTCGCAATGCTAGGACTGGATCCGGCCATGGTAAAGCAGGAACAGTGAGATTCGAATACGTGTAAGTGATTCCTGGATCTCCGTAAGCCACTTGCTGTCGAGGTAGAGGATATATTTTTCCAAATACCCTAAAATATAGTTAATATTTTATCTCATAATTATTTATAAATTAACGATTTTTTCCATACCATATTCATTTGTATAACATTTATTTTACAGTAAGTTAAAGGCTGAAGTATGGTTAACAAATTTTAAATAAAATTCTAAACGAGTCCGTAATTCTAACATCGAAGTATGAACGGACATAATATTCGTATGTCACAGCTTCTTTGGTCTAATGGTTAAAGTCTAATATTTTATTTATTTATTCATTCGTACATACAATGAAGAACGGCACCTATCGTAGCTTAAATACCTACCTAATTTTGGCTAAATCTCCTGTAAAATATTCCAGCGTTTCATCAAGTTCCTTTATAATTGCAGATGCAAGTGCTCTAGGAATAGGGGTAGAATATTCGATATCGAGACCGTCATTTTTTATAGATTTCCACGCAATTTCATCAATAATCAATTCTTTAAGTTTTCCTGCCATTTTGAGTCTTAAAAAGGTGATAATATATTTTTGTGTGGGTAGGATTCGAACTCAAAACCTCTAAATCTGATCCATAGACATGACGTGCTTATTATATCATTGTTTACTACTGATTGTAGATACAATTTGAACTCGACAATAATAAAATCTGTGTTTTGTAGTCAGAAACTCCTGAGAAAATTAATAACGTAAAATACTTAAAAGTACCTATAATTTAAAATTGCATTTCTATAACATCGACTGTATTTTACAACACGCACAGACTATATAAGAACAGTGTAATTTTTTCGACTTGACATATTTGACACTCGAAGTAAATGGTAAATATTAAAAAAATTAAAAATACAACATCGATTAACGATTTATCTGCCATGTATAATATTATGATTTAGCTATCACTAAGTACTTACAGCGTAACATTTTTATTTTTAAAAGTGTCTAAGGAAAGACTTCAGCCCAATATTACTTATTGAAATAATGAATAGAACTGCAACATTTGAATTATGAAATTGCACCAATTTCATTATGTCAAAACACTAAACGGACAGAACGGACAATGGTCATCCATCTGATTTCCGAGTTAAAAACAAACTCGCAGTTTATTGTCAGTGTCGGAGTTTAACAAAGAAAAATTTCCCTTTTTTGTATAGGTACTACTATTATAAATTGGGAGAGAAATAATTACATTTAAAATAAAATCAAGCAAAATAGTACAATTTATTTAAATTAAATTACAATAATTAAAATAATAAATAATATTTCTCGAAAAAAAATAATTATCTCCTTGATGTCAATGATGTAGAACATTGTACTATATTTCCAGAACATTTAAGAAATTTTTGAAATGCTTCGGATCCAGTCAAAAATCTTTGTCTTGTTATCGGGTAGTTAATATTTTTAGCTCTACAAACATCAAATCTTCCTAGGTTTTGAGTGGTGTAGTCATTAACTATGGTGCTCGAGCTATATGAAAAAATATAAATTATAGTTCAATACAATAACAAAATAAATCAATATATGCAGACGATGCCTACCACAGATTAATAGACATCAAGTATCTTGTCATTTTACGTTATAATATAATAATAAAATACCTTCTGTAATCCAATAGGCAGTCTTTATCGCAATAAACAGAATACTGCCTTATCCTACTGATTGTATCTCCATTGTCGTAGTCAGTCTGAAAGTTGTATTCGTAAAGTTTTTCAATTAAACCATCTTTATCCTTAACCGTCCAAACATATTCGCCAGGAAGCCCTCGTAGTTTGGGTGCTTGTGATAAAAAACAGTCGTATTCAATTTTCGTCAAACTATTGCTTTGCCCAATAGTATTTACGGGGTCAGCCTCCTCTGGTTTTATTATGCAACTTGTTGAATTATTAAGGAATTTCCGAATTTCACTTTTTACATCGGAATTTAAAATATTATCTTTTGTTTCTACAATAAATTTACAGCAGAATGCTTTTAAATCCTTATTCTTTGATTTGCAGACTTCGTTTATTAAGGCTATAAGATTTCTTTTTGCATTGTCTCTTTCGTTTACAAGTTTTTTAATACGGGTTTTTAAAAATACATTTTCTTGGTGCGTTGCTAAATAAAGTTGTTGGAAACTTACGTATTGACATCGGTTTTTCTTTATTAATCTTTCTGTATCCTCAATATACCGAGTAAGTCTGTTTTTTGCTAGGTTTTCTAATTGATATCGCATTCTGATATTTTTGTTATCACGTATTGTTGTCAGTAACAGCTTTCCTAAATTCCTTCGTTCCTCATTTAATTCTTTAAATCGTTTTAGTAAGAGTAAATTGTTATTAATTGAATTAGATGCATGTAACATCTGTCGTTTAAAGTAAAAGTCAATTTTTTCGAGGATGGTTTTATAAATCTTTCCCCAAACAGTGGTAGCATACTTTCTGATGGCACCCCGATACTGTATGGCGGTTTTATTTAAATGCCATTTTAGTCCGAGTGTTTCATAATACATTTTCGATTGCTTGTTTAGCGCATACAATATTCTAGCAATAAAGCTCATGTTACGATTATTTTGCAGTATTATAAACATTATAGAACATGCGAAGAACATAAAATAATGGTAATACGAATAATTTGTCGTTTCTTGTGCTGGTAACGAAATAAATGTATCTGCTTTACTTTCGGTTTGCATTGCATTAAAACTATAGTTCTGGTACAGAGGAAGTATCGTATCTGTAAATGGAAATTGTTGTCAATGTTTATCACATTACGTGGCTGCTATTACTCTTGTTCCAGCAATTTATATACATAGTAATAAGCCTATAATTTTTTAATAGGAAGCAATCGGACAGAAGGCTCACCTAATGTTAAGTGATACCGCCGCCCATGGACACTCAAACTGCGAGAAGGCTCGGAGGTGCGTTGCTGGCATTAAAATACTTGGTACGCTCTTTTCTTCAAGGACCCTAAATTGATTTGGTTCGAAAATACTTCAGTGTGTACTCCACTATGTGCACATAGGTGCGCGGCAAAAACCGTCTTAAAAAAAGCGACGTAAAGAAGGACGTCGAGGGGATACGGGTGGAATTAGGTATTCTGCCACGACCGATGAGGGAACTCAGCTTTAGGTTTTAATCTGAACAACTCATCCAAACACTCGATAATAAATGCGTTGAGACCCCAAATCTCTCCGTAACGCCAAAGGATCCAACCGCTCGCAAAGCTACTCTTATCCTACCTACCCTGCATTGACAGATGGTAAGAATATAATTATTTATTGAATGGCTCGCAGAAAATTTCCATCCAATCAATTAAAAATGTGATCTTTAATAGGCATAGAAATTATTCTGAGCTCAGGCTCTAATGTTTTAATAAGCAAAAAATCAATATATACATTCCAATGTAAATTCTAAATTGTTTCTAGGATAAAGATCTAGAACCTGTTATGTATTTGCACTGTGAATAAAAGGAATGTAGGTATACATTACCTCTCGGGGATACCATACCCATTCTGTTTAAGTAAATGTCAAGACAACACATGGCTATCCACATAGCCGAAGATAAGCCAAAAAGCCATCTTAATGCAATATACATAGTTTCCTTGATTGGTATTAAAGCTTATTTTTTTTGTTTTATGCAGAATTCCATCACTACAAATACACTGAATTTTAGAAAATATTTTAAAGTTTAGGCTGTTGTTTGACATTAATAAAGATGTCATAATAAGGCATAGCATGCCAAAAAATTTAAAATATTTGTTTACTACTTTAATGAAAAAAGGCTTTAATGCTCATTTTATGAAAAGTTAATTCTGAAGACTCGCTTTTTAAAATGTATAAAAAATATAGTGATAATAAATAAATAGAAAAAATATTTATCGTAAATAAGAATGATGTATAAAAAACATTTTAATCAAAATCAATCGCTAGCTATAGCTGGAGGCATTGTGTAGATAGAATCTACCACCAATAAAACCACTACAATCATAAAAGAACCAGAAATAACTATATTTGCAGATCTTTTGTTAGTTTTACCTATTAATAACAAAAAAACGATTTTGTTGAATAAAGGATCATATTAGTCTTGATTTCCCAGCATTTTACTTCTCTCTGACCAGGCAATCTTTACAAGACATATTGACAATACAAATTTTGAAATTGAAAAAAGGGAGCTTAAACATTTTTTTATATTACAGGGCAAATGGGCAGGAGACTCATTCGCCGATGTGCAATAGTAGTTTCTTTAATTGTTTTCTAAAGTACATACCCATCAGAAAAAAATATTGAAATACATGACAATACAAAAAATAAAAGCCTTATTATTTATTAATCTTTTATTTTAAAAATTCTCCTTAATTTTATTGTTATGGCTAGTCCAAGTAAAGTTATATTTTTCTTATACCATTCAATGTTATAATTAATATGACCTTTCCAGTTTTTATCCAAAAAGGCTTTGTAAAATACACTCATTTCATCAGCAGTTAAATTAGATTTTCCTTCTGGTAAGTTGTTCTTTAAGTAATTTTCACGTTCCTGAAATAAATATGAAAAGTTCTGAATATGTAAAAAGTTTCAGGAGATAGGTATTTGTTACAATTTATAGTATGAAAAGCTATGTAGAAGACATATTATCTGTATGTAAGTACAACGTTCTCTACGTTTCTGGTGTAATAATGGTAATGATTACATAAAAACAAACCTTAAAAAATCGTGAATTATGCTGTGTCCAAAAATTTTGATTCCATTCTTGAACCTCTGTTCTCATTTTCCTATATTTCTTTTCTAGATCACTTTCGTTTGCTGGTTGTTTAAATATTATTTGCCGAAGGTTAGAAACTGGATCAGGTGGACCAACCATATCACTTGATATTTTTTTCGGATTCGGTGGCTGAATAGATTTATTATCGGGTGTTGTACTGGTATTTCTTACAGAACATTTAAACGGCCACCTTGGCCAAACTATTTTACACGTAAACATTTTAAAGATTATTTGCTTTATTAGATTGTTTTTATATTGCACTGATTTTCAATTTTTAAGTAATTCACTGTCAAGTGTCAACTAGACAAAACTACAATTGTCAAGGATTGTTAACAGTTAACAGTAAAGTTAATCGTATTATCTGTCAAAACCAGCTGATTGCAAAATTATGTCAATGTTTTACGTGAACTGTCAGTATTCGAATAAAAAATGACACTTCTCAATTTCTCGGCACCGAATTATGTAAAGGGAAGCGATATTGTTAATTATATTTGTTCTTAATCGGCATCAGATTTTTTAACCATTAAAATGACGAAAGGCGATGCTGGTGATGACTACTCTGCTAAATTGGACTTGTGTTTGACTGATGGAATTGTAAAAACAGGTAACCAAATCAGAACAATATTTCTAACCTTTCCAGTTCTTGTTTCCTATTTACAGTTGATGTTATACGAAAAATACTGATCTCCTGTTATAGGTTTCATCCGATACTATTTTAAGTTACCTACATTTATTATACATTTGCTAGTACTGAATTGCAAATCAATATTATAAGAAGTTATGTTTTAGGTGGTGGCATAGTACTTGGTGCTCTTACATCAGTATTGTTCTTTAAAAGACGGAGATGGCCAATCATTGCCGGTATGGGTATGGGAATCGGTCTTGCATACGCTAACTGTGAATATGAGTTGAATCCTAAAAAGAATTCAGCTTAGTTACCAGTCAGGTAATAAATAAACTTGAATAGCTCTCTCTACTTTGCTATAAGTATAGCAAAAAATAAAATTTATATTTGTTTATAAGTGTAAGTATGTACTTAGTAAATTTTAATTTTTTTTTTCAGATAAAAGTGTTAAGTTAATAATCACATGGGATAAAATAAAATGATGAGTGACTCCAGTAGGATTTATTTAGAAGATACTGTACTATTGTATTTGCTTTGCTGTTAATAAATATTTATTTCATTTATTAACATTTTATTACATTTAATTAACATTTTATTAATTTCCTTCTCAATTTTCGATTTATGATTATAGTTCATTAGACCAGAATTTTAAATAAAATAAACAAATGAGAGAACAATATACTTTATTGTACAAATCAATATTGGAATAAAGACATCATTTAGGAGTAGGTATCTTAAAGAATTAACAATATAATTTAGTAATTCACAAAAGCTAACAACAACCCATATACAAACACCCAACATGGTAAATTTTAGCTCAAACATGGTAACACATTGACACACTCGCAATAAAACAAAGGTGTGAATATTGACAAAGAGAACATATGATTGTAAAAGCTGATGCATTCATGAAATTATTTTTTCAGACATTTTTCTCTTAACCTTTTTGAGATTCCTCAGAAGATATGGAGAAAAGAGATACTACTACAAGATGCCCTTCTCTATGTAGTGCATGCTGAATTAGAGTTATGACAGAGAGATATTTATTCCACTGAGGTAAAATACATGAGCAACCCCAAAACCTCCTTTATACAGCCTTATAAGATCATCCTGAGGATTTTTTTGTGGGTATTGCCAAACCTATATTTGCCTTGCTACATTTGGGCGGAGGGAATGCGCAAATGCATTTCTTAGTAATAAAAAATTGTAACAATCAATATTCACTAGATATTTATGATTAACTAATATTGGTGTGGTCAGAAGAGTATTGCCAAGTCCATTCTATTGATTAAAGTGAATATTAAGAATTAGTGTAGATAACATATAAAACACATTTACACTGTCTTTTTCAACAAATACATCAATAGAACATTTGTTTATACTATTATTATAAAGATTCAATAAAAGTGCTGTTGTCGCCTGATTTATAAATTAATTTCTAGTTTTTTATTAAAAACAGTTAGAGGATAGATTATATAGAGATAAAAAATCTTGATATACTTGATATTATTTGAGATTAAATTGTATGGCAAGATGTAGGTATCAGGTACATAAAAATTACTTTTTTATTAATTATATTCTAAAATGCATGACAACAACAAATGGATTACATTATGTGATTATATTTAACAGAAAATTTGAAACATTAAACATGTTGGTATATTATTTAAAATTACTTTTAGGGCATGACTAAGATTTAACAGCTTTCATTGCAGATATAGTTAACAATTGGAATACATTTATTTTAATTAAATTCAATTAACCGGAAAAAACTATTATTTTTGTAGTATCTTAATTATTTTAGTGAAGGCTATTTATAAGCCACGCCCAACTTAATCCCAATACACACAAATTATACTACTTAATAGCTAATAACAACATATTCGTAACTTGACTAGGTAAATTGTAACACAGTTCCAATCGAAAATTTAACACTATTTTCAATGCTCTTTAGATGTCTTTAAATTCAAGTTTTTTTATTCTTTGAATTGTATATAATAATGGAGATATACTAGCCAATATAAGCGCGGAGAATATCAATATCGTGGAAGGTACGACCCACAAATATAGCCAGCTACAAGTACTTACTTACGATTTAAAAAGGAACATAAGTGATAAATAGTGAAAACGGATCGTGAATTTGTGGGGATCTGGGTTATCAAAAAAGACGAAAAAGACGGAAACGCGAAAAAATACACCGACCGAAAACAAGCGACGGGGAATTCCCCGTTCCGTTTGATAGACGCGCATCGCATATGGATTGATTGATCTCAGGGCCAACCTTATGATTGGATGTTTTAAAATTTTTAGATATTTTTTTAAATTTAAAATATCGCCTATTGTTTTCAGTGGGGACTGGGGGCCCTTTGTATCCACGAGGCCCTGGGCTCCAGCCCAAAAAGCCCTTAAGTAGATCCGATGGTTAACGCATCGCCTGATCTTGTATCATAAAAATTATGATTATTATTATTATTATTATTATTATCATCAATGTTTAAAATTTAAAGTAATAGAAAATTCGTCTTGTTTTAACGTTCATTATTACAATTAAGAGTTGATTTTTTTGTAATGCATAGTATTATGGAGTTTGTATCAAACACAATTATATCATAGATCTTTATTATAAATATAGTTTAAGTTGAAAATGTAAAATACCAAAGTTAGTAAACTAAAAATCATCACTGAACCTTGAATTTAAAGAACGGGAAAGAGCAATGTTATATGCAAATGTGTCTTCAGATACATTTTAAATAAATTATTATACACCATAAGCAAAAAAAGCACATTAACTTTCCAATACATATTTTTAAGTTTCAACTGGTGTTGCCAGGAATCAAAACATTACAATTATAATGGTAATATTCAGCAGAAAATGTGACTTTTAATATTAAAGTGTAGGCACTGTTTTATTTTACTACTTATTTAAAAACGTTAGAGATAGGATATATTAATTGTAAATTCGAATACTAAGAAATATTAAATTTGGTAGGCACAGTTGAACAAACGCGGAATACATATTTGCTTCCTAGTCACGATAATGAATCACACAGATAACAATGCATTCTTATGTCAAAAAATTATTTAAAAATAAATAAATTCTATGCTCTGATTTTTTGTTCCGTAGGATTCTGACATACAAAAATAACAATTATTTCATTATAACGTACAATATATCGAATTAACTTTAATTACTTTATTTTATTCTTTAGCTGGCATCACTGCCTACTAATTCCAGGTTTAGTAAACCTTTAAAAAAGAAAAAAAAATGACTTTACTTGAGCGTTTTTTACTGTTTGTGATGAACCGTTAAAGCACTATTAATGTGGAGCACCGCACTTATTAAATGGATACATTAACTAAAAATAAAATGTATGTATAGACTCAGATGTTCAGACTCGTATTGAAATTAAAAAATGTGCCCGGCCAATAAGGTTTGCCATCTCTGACATGTCAAAAAATGATAGCTGTCAGAATTCTTCGGCATTAAAAATCAGAGTATAATTGTGTATTGATGGTTAATTAAATTAATCAAATAAATATGTTATAAATTGCGCCTACCAAATTTAGTCCCGCATTAGTCAAACTACTTTCAAGAACTGTCAAATTTAGTGACAGTGACATTACGTTAAAAATACGGGCGTTATTGTCTACAGTGCCAGAGTATAATACTGTATTATATATTACTAGCTATTGTGAGATATTGAAGAGAGCCTTATTTACAAGCTAGTCTTTAAAAAAATAGTTGACTAGAACAAACGCAAATACTTCAAAGTTTTGTTTTGGCAAACCTAATTTGTAGAATTCAAATAACTTTGTCACATTTGAGCTCGCACACTTATGCGCAACGTAATGCAGTTATATTGTCCCCAGGGACTTGAGACAAAATCCCTTTTTACAGTTGTAACCCACTTACGCCACGTAGCGTGTCATAAAAATGGTCACGTGACAAAGCGTGAGCTAATGTCCCTTTGAGTAATGTTGTCTCAAGTCAAGTCTGTAAAAAGTGTCGAAAAGTGACTTTGTCTCAAGCCCCTGGGATTTTCAAAATTATATCAAAAATGACAAATTATCACTATAGACCCACAATATTGGCATTCTACTATAGACTGCTAAAACCGACATAAAACTACTAAAATTCTGAAAAACGTGTCCGACCAAAGCTAAAATGTTCGTTTAATACATAAATTAAACTTTAGCAATAAATAGTCCTAGATATTGAGAATTAAAACTAACCATCTACGTGCGACTATCAGTACTATTGTGATAGGCACTAATTCCATTACATTTGATCCTTATAATACCACAATTCGTAGAGAATAGACAATGGATAACTTTGTAATAAAATTATAGTTAAAACATTTGTTACGTCAAGAAAAAAACATTAAATATTTAACTGTCAATCATCCGATGTCAACATGAGATTGAAATTTCAAAGTGATTACTTTGCATTGTCTATTCCCACATTACATATTTTAAAATATTGGGGCCAGCAAATATGCTCAAAATTTTGTCCACAGATAACCTCCAAACAATAGACTTAAACACACTACCTCTATCTAACTGGTCAAATTCTTGGGCAGTAATAACCAGGCTAGAAGCCTTCAGACAGTAATCGGAAATATATTTTTGGTTAAATTACTGTCTGTTTAAAAAAATAACAAGGTCTAAGTGAGAAAAAACCACGTAAAAGAGCTTAAAAACTTCCCAAATCTAAACCACATATAAACACAAAAATTCACCAAAACAAATGGCGTATGACTTTTCAGCCGTTCGAAATTCAAACCAACACGAAAAGACAGCAAAAAGTTTATGCCACCTTCGTGGTAAAATAAAAATACCAAAGAGAACTAAAACTAAAGAGGTCTCACTTGGTTGTCATGTCAGGCCAATAGTTGATGTAGTACCGATGTGTGCTGCCTTCGAAGAGACGATCCAACCAATTCTCCAGACCATCGAGGAGATTTTCTGAAAGTGAAAACAATACCAAAAAACCTAGAATATGTGGCTGGAATAACCGGAACACGTAAAAATTAAAATTTAATACAAGCAAGGGTGTCGCTGGACCCACTTAGAGAATGGTATATATTTTTTTTAATGATTAATTTGTCTCATTTTTTTTAAATTAATATATCTTATCAGTAACGATGTTTATTTAAATAAATTTATACTCAAGGCCATGTATTTAATTGCTTTATACACCTCATTTTTTCCCCATCCTGTGCGGGACTATCTATCTCGCTCTTTGTTTTCGATAGATCTATCAAAATATAATGCCTTATTTTTTTAGTTCCCTTTTAGAAAAATTAATACATTTTTATTCTTACTAAAAATTGTCTTTTTTGAAGTGAAACTTCTTTAGGCGCATGAGGGTATTGTTTTTAAAAAACGTCACGATGATGTGCAGCGTTTTTGTCGAAGAAAAGGGAGAGAACGACGGTCGGTCTCTCTCGATCGGTTACCTTTAATTACCTTATAGAAATTCTATTTTTAATATGAAAATTTCGTAAAAAACGAATTTATGTGTATTAGTATTTTATATTTAGAATCTATAATTCAACTGTACGTGTGTATGTCACTGAACTCCTCTTAAACGGCTGGACCGATTTGAATGATCTTTTTTGTATGCGTTAAGGTAGAGCCATGGATGGTTTAGATTCACAAATCAGCCCGGCAGATGGCGCTGCAGTCGGAACTTACATACTTTGTTTAATATCCTAATCGCTTGAAATATCATGCCAAACAATAATATAAATGACCATTCCGAATTCGCGGCATATTTATGGTACATACACACCGCGAATAAACCTTTTACTATATGTATAATGTAAATAATAATCTGATTTTAAGGTTAAAATCCAATATATTGTTAACACGTCTTATCAACATACCTTGCAAGAGTACGGGCGGGTCGTACGAGTCTTCATCAGAGGAATCCGGGTCAGTTGTGAATCCAATGAAGGCCCCAGCCTCCGGGTCGATGTCGCCACCGCCAAGGGAACGGGTCATACGACTCATTCGCTGTAACAATTTACAATGTCTTATCGAGAGATAACTTTGTACCTGGCCTCGATATGAAAAAACTTCTTTTAAGAATTTGTGATACAATTATAAGAAATATGTTTGTCTCTTTCTGTCACTTGTGTTTATGCTATGTCGAAAAGAGACAGCGGAGGTTTGGTTCGGTTTTATTTTGTACTTCCTTATGCTGTCTCTTTTCCTTAAAGCGCAAACTCAATTTAAAGGTAGGAGACATATTACTTAAAAAGCAAGTCCGTCTTAGTTATAATGTGTTAAATCGATATATATACGGATTTTTTCTAGCACTCACATTCATTTTTTTAATCTTTTCTTGAAGGACCATGCTAAGTGATACCGCCGCCTAGTTCTTAAGTGATACCGCCGCCTATAGTCACTCACATTGCCAGAGGTCCCGCAAGTGCGTTGCCGGCCTTTTAAGAATTGGAACAATCTTTTCTGAAGGACCATGTTAAATGATACCGCCGCCTATAGTCACTCACATTTCCAGAGGGTCTCGCAAGTGCGTTGCCGGCCTTTTAAGAATTGGTACGCTCTTTTCTTGAAGGACAATGTTAAGTGATACCGCCATCTAGTCACTTACATTACCAGAGGTCTCGCAAGTGCGATGCCGGCCTTTTAAGAATTGGTACGCTCTTTTCTTGAAGGACCCTAAAGGAAGGTAACCATGGCAACAAACTTTATCATAGTTTACAGTACACATTTTGTTTTTATTATACGTTTTCCCGCTTTAAAGGTGGTATCCACAGATAATATATATAGATACCTTATGTGGCTTAGCACACTCCGGATGTTTCGCGTGGTAGATACAGAAGTACTTCCTGTGCGGGTTCAGGGCCAGGACTGTTCCCACGCAGTTGCGAGCATTCACCCTCAAAGCACCTCCGCCGAGGGACAGCTCCAACACCCGCCTGAACCATTCCACGCCCCGCTCCACGCACAGATACGCGAACACTAGTGTTTTGTTCCTATAAAAGTTCAAAACTGTTTTAACCGACATTGAAAAAAGGACGTTATGCTTAACATGTTTATTTGTAAATTTCGTAAGTGTGTCTAACAAAATCATTCGAGTCAGGTATGTAGGGAACAGTCCAAGTTTCATCGAAATCGGTTCAGTAGTTTTTGAAATACAGTGTTCACTCTTTATAATGCCAGTTGTTATATTGAAAAACTCTCTATAACATAAAAATGAGTTAATTTTATTTGGTTGAACCCAATACTCATACATTAATTCTTCCCTCCCTATAACGAATAAAAATGCTCGGTCCCTTGAAATTCGTTATAAAGAATTTACACTGTATATATCTACGGCACCGCTTTTCTAGGAAACCGTAGGTTTAGTAGGATGACGTTGCGGCACCGCTACGGCGCCGTACCGCACCGTTACCGCATCGTGTGGCTGCGCTCTATCTGTGTAGTCCGGCATCAAACCTAGAACCTGTTGGTATAATTACTTACTTGCGATAAGGCCAAACGATTTTATGAAATTTGGACAAGAGCTGCACACGACTCTGCATGTCCACCAATAAGACAATCGTCCGGCAACCCGGCTTCTGTAGTCTGAAAAAGAAAAAAAAGGTAACAAATTAGGAGGGCAATGGGTCGCCCAAAAAGGGCAGTCATTGCAACCCATGGGCACTCATTTTAGTGGGTTCGTTACCGGCCTTTGTGGGATCTTTCTTTAAACAATTGGTATCCCAGGGAAGAACCCCGCTAGTTCGCAAAAGAAAATGTCTTGTGAATCGGGCCGTGGAAGCAGCCATCAAGGTGACGTTTTAGTTACATAGAAGTATTCTGTTATCGTTTTAAAAATAGAGAAATTAAAAAAAATATCTTCAATATTTTTGTTTTTTATACAACAGCAGGCAAACGGACACCTAAGCCTACGGATATACCAGAAGAATTGGTACACTCTTGAAGAACCCTAAGTCGAACTGGTGCGGAAATACTTCAGTGGGCAGCTGGTTCCACATAGTGGTGGTGCGCGGCGAAAACTGCCTTAAAAAAGGCTCAGTTGTGGAACCATGGACGTCAAGGTTATCAGTGGAATTTCGTATTCTGCCTCGACGTCCGATGATGAGACTCAGCTGCAGGTATTAAGTCCGAACAACTCCTCTAAACACTCTCCATGGTAAATGCGGTACACAATTTTTAAATTAAAATAAAAAAATCACAATAACAAATATTAGATGAAAAATCCTCTCACTCTTGTTATAAAAACAGGGCGTGGTGTGATCGAGCATTCCGGAAGAGCTAACTAACTATATTTATTTTTATAATTTAAATACACAATAAAATAAAAAATGGCCGACCTGACAAGTCCATTATACTTCTCAGCTCTGAGTTCGTGCATTCTCATCTCTGGTTTTGTTTCCTTTTTGCCGCCATTTTGGTCGCGTCTCTCCTGTTTTTGACGTTGTACAGACTCTTCTTCTACGCGACTGAAATTAAAATGTAATAATATTGAATCAATTTCGCTAAAAATTATTTTATATATAAGAACGGATATCATATTTCAAATTATTTTTATCAACCGGTAAAAGAAATATTTCGTTTAATTTCCGAAGTTCTTAAATGTTTCGATATGATTTAATAAATTTCGAAATGTTCGTTTCGAAAATTCAAGTACTATAAAATAGCTGTCTGTAGCCACGCTTTGAGTATTTCCTTGGTTTAGTTTATTGGTTGGGTTCTAGACTTTATACAAATTGTATAAAATCATGCGTTTAGTTTTGTACCTCCCAAAAACATCTTAAATCCACCTTAATTTGGGGGTAAAACCCCCAAGTTAGCAACACTGTGTGAAAGACACTTGACAAGCAATAATGGCGCCAAACAATCACAGACAATCAATCTCTATGGTTTGTACCACAGATTTGGTAAGTTTTCACAGATGCCGCTATACGAGCATAGCTCAAAAGGCCTTTTTCTATACTCACATAAGATACGCCATCAAATATCCAATGGCAAGTACCAATACGACAGTGGCTAGTACGGATATGGCTGATATCGCGTGCTGAGTCCTCAAAGCAAGGATTGTCCTTTCGCTCCACTCCCCTACTTTGAGAAACGCTCGCCATATCGCACTTTTTGCCGCTTCGTCTAGTAATTCCTGAAAATATTATTTCATAAGCCATTCTACACACTAAGAGAAAGGTGAGAGACACGTGTCGAATTGGTAGAAATGTAAAAAAAAGAAAGAATTTGATTTCTCAATGGTTTTTAAGTGAACTTTCTTAAGGCGCATGACGGTAAAATGTTTACGGATGAAACGCAATAATATTATCGTCACGAAGATGTGCAGCGTTTTTGTCGAAAAAAAGGGAGAGAGCGATTGAGACCGATTGAGAGATAGTGAGAAAGGGCGAACGTTGCATCACGCACAGTGCCATGGAACGATAGGTGGAAGAGAGCTATAGTGAAAAAGATTGAGAGAGTAAGGGAGATCGAGAAAAATACACGATATTGGTTGATGTAGTCGTTTAGTAGTTTATTAGAACTTTAGATGGAAACGTCGCATAACGTCTTGTGCAGTAAACGCAGATTTTTTATTGAAGTTATACTTCTTTAGACGCGTTATGAAAAATTGATGAGCTGACACAAAATTAACAGAATGAAGTTGCCCACGGAAGATGCTACGGCATTGGACATAATTTAAAAACAACATTCGAATAATAATAGAATTTATGTTACATTTAATGTAAGAGAATAATAATAAATATTAATTTATTTAATTTTTCAAATGTAAACTGAACTCTATTGACTATAAAGACTCCTTTTCCAGTCTTTGATTATTTAATTGTAATTAATTATTTGCATGCAATCAAAAACTATTTTTAATAATGCCAAAGAAGTATAACTTCTTACGCGCGTACATAAGTACACGCACCCTTTTTTATTTATATTATCACGTATAGGTGTGCAAACAGTGTGAATATAGATATACAAATACATGGAGTGATCATATACTGCTACATGATCATCTATTATGGCTTTAACCATAGTAATAATTAATTTGCAAAGAAGTTTCAATTCTGACATGTGTACTTTGTACGCACGCACTTGTTTTTGTTCACTTACTTGTACTCTTGCTTCATAAGCCACCACTTCATTGGGTTTGAGCAGCCTTTTGACCAGCTGTTCCAACGCTATCGTGGTCTCATTAAGCCTCTGTTGGTATGTCGGGTCATCATCACACCTGGCACAACTCGGCCAAGATTCGTTTAACCACTCAAATTGAACTCTCGTCGCTTCACGCCGCCATATTACCACAATGCGGTGTTCTATTGACGAGAGGTCTATACCTAGAGAGTTAATATGGTTAATAGTTATTTAATATATATAAATGTAAATATATAGTCACACACATACACATACAACGCGTTTTGTCATAAAAAATACAATATTTGTAAGGCAATGGAACCCTCGCTTTTAATATAGTATTAAATCCATTAATGAGAATTTTAAACGATGGTAGAAGTACAGGGTCATGTTAAGATGAATTTGCCAATGATACAAATTATCATAAAATAATAAACAAATTGTATTAAATTTGACTCACCGGAAACATTGGCCAATGCAGTAACAAATTCCGGTTGCTTATGCGCATACAAGTACGCGTATCTCAGTCGCTCGGGCGCACGCTTGGCGAGCGGACGTAGGTCTCGTAGCACGTGCGAGTCACGTGTTATTATAACGCAACATAGACGACGCCGGGCGGCACGCCACTCCACTGGACATACCGTGTCTAGAACGCTCTGTAAATTGTACATTTTATTTAGTTAGACATTTATTTCCAAAAGTACAGCGGCTCTCGATAATTTGAATCTCTCGGAAACTTTGAATATCACGGGAATTTGAATCTTTCGGTAATTTGAATATTTCGGTAATTTGAATCTCTCGGGAATTTGAATCTTTCGGTAGTTTGAATCTTTCGGTAATTTGAATCTTTCGGTAATTTGAATCTCTCGGTAATTTGAATCCCTCGGTAATTTGAATCTTTCGGTAATATGAATTTTTGACGTATCATATTCATACAACAACCGCCACCGAACTTAACTAGTGACAATGTTTTTTTTGTAAAATTCTTTAAACCTAAATAAATCTCACCTGAGAAGAGAGTCGAGGCAAGGTCAATATCTGATTAGCTTCTATGAGTTGTGTGAGAGTCTGTGTCGCTATCTCTGTGGTGCTGACTGTGGCGGCGGCTTCAGATGAATCTTCCTTTAATAGAACCATTGTATCCATATTCCTCTGCACTTTGTATCTAGCAGTTAAGTTTTGTGTGTTCTGGGCTGATATGTCGACGAAACTGAAATTTGTAATTATTACTAAGGGAATATTTTATTCAACGCTAAGCCAAATTTACAACTATTCATTAATAAAAAAAATATCAGTGGCGCTACAACCTCTTTAGGTCTTGGCCTCAGATTTCTGAATCTGTTTCATGATCATTTTTAAATCGAATAGGCAAGTAGGTGATCAGCCTCCAGTGCCTGACACACGCCATCGACTTTTTGGGTCTAAGACATGTCGGTTTCCTCACGATGTTTTCTTTCACCGTTCGAGCAAATGTTAAATGCGCACATAGAAAGAAAGTCCATTGGTGCACAGTCGGGGATCGAACCTACGACCTCAGGTATGAGAGTCGCACGCTGAAATATTCGATAAAGCACTTTTCGAACGCGACAAAGGACACTACTTATCCAGGCCGAAGACCGTCTTCTTATTTATTTACACACGTTACATTTATAGAAAATCAAATAACATAACACATACAAATTATAAGGGATGCAACAGGCGGCCTTATCGCTAACAGGCGATCTCTTCCAGGCAACCCCAGTAAGGATAAAAATAAAAAAGTTATTATATCATGGGTAAAGTGCAAGAATTGCATCACCAAATCTTATAGAATCACCAACCTTATATCCAAAATAAACAATTTTTTTTCATAAAATAAAAACTAAAGCTAATATCACGGATTCATGAATTGCGATGCAATACAAAAGAATAAAAAATACAAGAATCACAAAAGTCACGATTGAGCAGGATAGGTCTTTATGTCTAATGAAGCTCGTGGTGTTCTGTCACTGGTCCCTGTCTGTCGAACTGACACCTTCAGAGAAATGGGAAAATTACTTACGCAAACGACACCCAGTCCCGATAATGAAAAGCGGTGATCAGATATCGCAGTCTAATCAAATGTCTTTCCTCAAATATCAGAGCTTTCACTTTATTGTCCTCGAAGTCGTTCAAAAATGCGTCCGCATTGCCATCGTTCAAATTATGTATCAGTCTGTATGGGAACTTC